AATATTTGCAAAAAAGGAAAAAACACTAATTTTTAATTTATTTTTTAACATTCGATGGAATATTGTAGAATTAGTTCCCCATAATCAAATAAAATTATTTAAATACGCCATCGAAAATTATTAAACGTAAAAATTAAAGAAATTTTCTTCATATGCTACTCATAGATGCTGCTGCGCTAAAGCAAAACGGAAATGACGACGACATCACGATATAACCTAAAAAACAACTTTATAACTAGCAGAACTCTGTCGCCGTCTTCCTCCTCTGTTGCCACTGTTACTACCTGCTTGTTCTTGTGCTACAATCGCACCCTCGCTGTCGCCCTCTAGCTCAGGAGTAGTTTCATCTCGTCTTCATACCGCTGCGCCCGCTCGTCCTGTCCTGCTCGACACCGGCCCGACTCACAGGGCAACAACCAGCTACAATGGTGAATTGGGAATTCCATTTAACTCAATCGCCATCTTGCCCTGCAGCACCATCTAGTGGCGAGTTACAATAAAATTAACACTGTAATAAACTTCCCCATGAAAAAACACTTAAATGTGTCAATTGTCATGGAGATCAAGAGGTCGGTCAAGCGGAGACCGAGTTTATCGATCCTGGATATACCAACATTCATTCGTGTGTATGAAAATTGGAAACACACCGTATACTGAATGGTTCATTAGAACTATTGCAAAGTAAAGTAACAATTACTTCCAAATTAACATAAATTTTATAATGTTCCAAAACGCGATGATTTCACTAAGAAATAAGAGGTATGTCTACGATTGCATAGTGAAATATTTTAGGGTGTACGCATTGTTTCAAAACATCTCCATTTTTCCATTTAAAGAGGCGCACATTAATATATTACGTAAAGGTATGTCCTGTTGACGTTAGGCACGAAATTATGATCGAGATGAGAGACACTGACCCAGAAGCTGAGGTTCATACATTGAGAATTATACAGTCAAAATAAAGGCAATTAATACATTCAATATCATTGTTAAAATTACTTCCCTTTTTGATGCATGGTATAATATCTAATTTTATTAAAACAGTAATGCAGAAGAAACGATTTTACTGGACAGTTAAACTAGTGTATGGGTTTTAATCGCTTAAAATCTGGCAATGTGTAGTAAAATCATGCTCATGTGTTGTATGTGAATTTTTTGTAGTGAGCTGTTGATACTGACACCCGATAAATATGATTACTACTTCGAGTGCTATTGTTATAGGCGTTTGCTGAAAATAAATTCCCACCCTTCAGTAAGTTATTTTTGGAATAAGCCACTGATCCTTAAATGAGGAGACAAGGTAATGATAATGATAATAATAGATTAATAAAGTGCTGTTCCCAAGAATCACGTGGCTGTGATTTGCTTATTTTTCGTATAGTTCTTTTTTTTGTAATCTAAAAGTCCAAGAAATTGAAATAGCACGAGTACTTATTCGCTTCAGTTAATATGATTAGATTATTCCGCGCTCAATACTGTACAAATGACATAAAATTTAACATTTTCAGGACCAGATGTCAGACCACAGGCCTATATTATAAACGCTCTGCTGATATAAAGAAATAAAATAAAACCAGACACGTTAAGTAATAAAAGTACCAATTGGGACAGTTTTAAGAATGAATAGACAACAATACACAACAAAACTAGTATTTTCTAGGGAGACCTTAAATAAATAATTTAAAAAAGTACACAACAAACTCAAACCAGGAAATGACTTAGAAGATGGGGTTCTCAAGCCATCTAAAGCTATCAAGACCCAAAAACCTATTTCAACCAAACCACATCAAAAATTGAAGGCTAATGTTAAGTTTTGGAGATGATTTCATATTTGTTCTGACGTTTTTTAGTATTCGTGTTTATTCACTCCTAAAAACGTATGTTCACTGTTTCTCTTTACACAGCAATGAAATTTTGAAAACATGGAGTGGAACAGTTTTTTCCCTAACGCCTAAAATTAGCCTTTAATTTTAAATGCATACTCGTTGTCATGCAATGGTTATAAATTGTGTTTTGTAGTGAGACGCTCATTTTGAGACATCCAAAACAACCTAAAATTTAGAAATAGAGCATTTAATGATCCTGAAATTAGCCTTTAGTTTTGGATAAGGTTTGTTGAGATTGTTTTTGGCCGCTGATAGCTTTAGATGGCTCCATCCTTCTCCGATCATTCTGCAAGCTGCGTAGTACTCCACAGTAATAGACCATGATACAAAACTTATGGAAAAGAACACATCATCCTAATAGTGAAACAAATTCAAATCGAGGCAACCAAGAACTATACAGAAAACTTCAAAAAGTTAAAAAACGCCGAAATGTTCGTTTTGTTGAAACTATTCGGAAATATGAAAATAATTATTTATTTTCATATTTGCGTTTATTTGAAATGTTGCGAGGAAAAACGTCGAATTTTCGACACCAAAACTGTGAATACCGGGCCCTTTCTGTAAACATTGGTAGCGGCTAAACCGAAAGGATTTTCACTAAACTTGATACGAGATTTAGTATTCCCCAATCGATCTGTCTGATGTTGCAGCCCCTTAAATTGGAAACCGATATTTTAATTTTAGGGATAGTTTACATTAAGCCCTGAGAAATTTCAAATTAAAAAAAATGGTGCCGAATGTTTTGAATAAATTTTGCCCTCGGGAAACTTGAACGACACTTAAGAAAATGGTGCAAGTATGATTTTCGTTAAAATCCCATTTTTTTTTGAAAATTGCATACGTTCATTTTTTTCGGCGTCTTATTATAATTATGAAAATATTTTTTTCCTTCATGAAATGTGTTTGTCTGTAACAGATCTTCAAATACATAAGATCATGGTCAATTTCTTAAAACTATTAGTACTTTGCGTCAGATATAAGAAAATTTAAAATTAACGGTAAAGAAGGTGATTGTGATCCCATTTTCGGAACACATTTTGTATTTTCGACCATTGAAAAAAAAGAAAATTATACATTTAATCGGCGGGTGCTATTTCTTAGGATTTTTGTGAGTGTGGCCAGTTATGATAATAGTGCAATGAAGATGACATTATTTTGAAAGAAAATAAATTGAAGGAAAGTAATGTATTAAAGAACCAACAAACACACATCTTTACTTTAATAATTTCTGATCGCTGATTATGTAAATCGAAAATGGAAAAGTCACTTCAATCTAATCAAAGCAGGTTTCTGAGAAATTATTCTTACTTTTCCGTGCTATGAGTCGTAAATACTGTAACAATCGAATTTATTCAGGTTTCTTTCATTTGTAAACCTACAAAATGAAAACTTTTCCTGACAACCGAAATAAATACAAATATGCGCCAAGGCTCTTTGTAAATTCGCTTTCAATCGTTATCTCGGTTCTCGGTTATAGCAAACTTGTTAGCAGGACAGAAATATTAATATTTCAGTGTTACGTAACTATTTTCCATAGTGAGAGAAAGTATGTGTTCTACAACGCAAATTTTCTGAACAAATTTTGTTACTTGAGTAAAGGAGGCTATCGTTATGAATAAGCAACGTTCGAACTTTTTCGGAAATAAAAGTACAGGACACGTTTTACATCTACTTAACTAATTTTCACTAATTTTAATAGTTAGCAATCAGAATGTTTAGTAGTGCTTCAACAGCAGATACTTTCTCGTATTATTTCTAAATTTGCAATATTCGAAAATCCGGAGTTGAACGGAAATGGGAGTTGTGGTATTCACTTTAATATTCCTTGTTTTATCCACACAAAAAACTTGAAGAAACAATTTTAAGTGGTTTTATAATATACATTCACTTCAAGCAGAAATTGTGCCAAAATTATTCTTAATTTCAAAAATGTATATAACTTTTTTGAAGATTGTTTTGTGCTTTTCCAAAAGAAAAATTTATATCTTCAAATTTGAAGTTTTTGAATATTACCTTTTTGCAATTTTTGAAATTACTAAGTTCAGCGGACCAGAGACCAGCACCAATGTTTTTTTACTATTCTTTGATACAAACGAGGAGGAAATTTAAAAGAAAAAATAGACCCATTTTTGAGCAAAATTTCGACAAATTAAAAATTACACCTTAATCTCCGGACAAATATCCATATGATACTACTTTGATACTGTTAAGTGCGAATAAATTAGTTTAAAAAATCATGCACCATGAAACCAAATATGACAAGTCCCACTACAAAAAATTTTCCAAAATTACTACATTCTTTACTATGTAAATCACTTTCTTCACAGTTCATTCTTACACCCGAGGGTAACATTTTTAAAATGAAACTATTCTTGAGAAAATAATTGTTGTAAATTGTTTAAAAATGACTGTCTCATGTAAAATTAAGAAAGAAAATTATTTATAATCGTTTTCTCTGTCAAAAGAAAAAAATACAGCCATTTTACTGAAAATTACGGACTATCATCACCCTGCCAATTAAAATATCCATTTCTTATTTAAGGTGTCGCTGCATCAGTTAGATCGATGGAGTAGTATCAGTTTTGCTTAAAATCCAGCTTAATGTTCTTAATAGTCTGTCAGACAAACGGATAGACGTTTTACCTCTAATTATTCAGTATCAAGAGCGAATAAACATGTATTCTGAGTTGAAAAGTTGTTAGAGTAAGTAATTTACTCGCTCTAGAAATAAGATTTAAATACTTTTGCGTAACAGGAGCTAAGTAAAAGTATAATATCTCCAAATAAAACTTTATTAAGTGTTTGTACAGCATTACAATACTTTTTCTTCGAGAAAGTTTAAAGACCATGCTTTGAAACAGAATATTCAGCATTTTTATTCCGATTTAGTTTTCAAAGAAACGATGTCATTACCTTTCAGAGGATTTCCGTTCAAACGCAAGACAACGGCACAGTGCAACATCATCAATTTCATCTCTAAACGCAACACATCTCGTGGTATCCTGACCACTATGTGGTGGTCGTGAAGTGCTCTTTCCTCACTGTAGCTTCTCCGTGGCGCTATAAATACTCCTTGATGAAGCTGCAAAATGAGTTGTCTGAGAAGCCATCACCATGTTTAAACTCGTCTGCTTCGTCTGCCTGTTAGCTACTGCCCTTGGTAAGTGACGGCTTGACTACGACAATCACTGTGGGAATGGAACAATTACTTAACAGAAGAAGACTGTGAGTAATATTGGCGGCGGTGAAAGTGAAACGGTTAGCGTACCGGAATATTTATATATATATATATATATATTATATATTATATATATATATATATATATATATATATATATATATATATCCACGTCTTTGAAGCGGCGATGATGTAACGGTTAGCGTACTGGACTTTTGTACCCAAGTTGGCGGGTTGAAACCTGATCAAAGCCGTGGATTTTTGAGGTGAAAAAATCCCTGTACGCCTTCCTTCGGAGGGGAAGTAAAGCCGGCGACCCATGTTAGTATGATTTACTTGCATGTAAAAGATCCTCAAGCTAAATGACACCTCTGAGCTAAATTCAAATCGCCAGTTTCTCGCCCAAGAAATCTTTCTCTGCTAGTGTGGAAGGAGCGTAGCGAAATTTGCGTGGTTAGCTGGAAGAGCGGGCCTGATGGCCCGAGTCTCGCCACGTAAAGGCATTAATTCAATTCAATTCAATTCAATATGTCTTCTTCTGTTAAGTAACAGACTGAGGTATGAATGGCAGTAGTAAATGCCGCGAAAATTTTCGAATATGTTATATTTATATTTGACCGTGGAAGTACAATTTGAAAGAATAAATATCATGTATGTAATTCAATACACTACCCCAAATTTCTCACGAATAAATCACTTTCGTGAAACGTTTGTTACGATGAAAGAATACCTGAAAATACGTTTTTTAAGAAGAGAGATATATGAATCAATTAACTATTGGTCAACTAATTTTCATTTAATAAATGATCATTGTTTACTTGTTCTGTAGTTTTAGCCTTACTATGAACAACAAAGTCAAGTAATTTAAAGCATCATTATTTCAATCTTGTTTCGCTCCGCATATCAAATCGATGGCGCATGCTTCTCTCCGCGAATCCTAATATTTATAGTGACGTCCATTAATTCTGAAAGGTATGGAATAATTGATTCCCCCTCCTTGATAGTATTTCTTCTGGTAATATGTATCATCCGGTCATCATCTTCTCATATGCACAACACGACCTAAAGATTTATTTTTCATGATTTTTGCAATCCTTTTTCTAATACTACCTAGGTTATGTATAAAGGATTAAAAATTACTCCATAAGGTACATAAAAGTATAAAAAGGATATTTGCAATACTAATTTCAAATATTAATTAAGCATGAATTTCTCCAAGAAATTAAGAAAACATGAAAACATGCACTTAAAATGTATCCCGTTTTAAAAGGAGTTTGTCAAAAAGTTTGAAAGCTCTTTGAAGCATAAATAAAAAATGCATTTACATGGAAAGCCTGTCTCTACTGATTACTAAGAATCTATCATTCCAATGTTTATTCAGAACTTTTGAACTAACTGTCACAATGACCTCCTAGTTACCCTTTCCCTAACACATCATTAGGTACACTTTTTCGGTTGTTTGGGGAAACTTTCGAACTCAATTTTGAAACACCAAACAAAATAAGATTTAGTACAGATTTTTTATTGTATAAAAAGTCATTATAAAATATATGTACACTAGGTAGTATATAATACGAAAACAACGCCATGTCGAATAAGCCCACCTTGAAAGTTCAATTGAATTTTCAAATGTTTGTATTAATCGAGCTGAATTGTGACTTTCGTGTTTCTGCAGCGGCGAATTCCTGGAGAGAGGGGGCCTTCGAATCCGACGAGAACCTCGTTGACGCCGACAGCCAGGAGGCTAATAACCCCAACATCAATGCACCTGCCATTAACTCCCCCTGCGGACACAAGCGAATAGTCGGCGGTCGACGAAACGACGCGGTGGCTCCAGAGGACAACGCAAGTGCGATGAACTCCCGCTGCGGCGGACATCCGGACAACGACGACAACAACAACGACGACAACAGCACCACGACAATCGAGAAACATCCTTACCAGGTACTTCCTTACATCTTGTGAGAAGTCACATTCAAGCAGGGGTGGCTTGTAAGGTTGGGCAAAGAGAGTCCGTACATAAAACCTGCGAAACCTTTACAGCAAACTTTCTTATTTTACTACATTCTTTATAATCTCCTTTGAAAGAAGTTGCGAAAGCTGCAAAACAATTCGTTATACATATTTTTTTAATTCATAACTTCCACGAGCCCGGATTTTGTAACAGTTTTATTTCATGTTATTTTATTTTATATTTTACTTTTGCCTTAAACGGTTTAATCTTCCGAAGATACAATTTGTATGTTCGGAATTTCTATAAATATTAAATATTTCTATAAATATTTAATCATGATCCATCACTGCAGAAAAGAAATAATTTTAGTTCAGGATTTATATAAAAACGATTATTTTGATATTCCTAAGTAATATATACCTTGGGCTAAAATCATATTTGACAGTGATTAATCTGGAATTGCTTTTAGGTATCCTTGTATCAAGATACATTCTATTTCGCAAGTGGTTCCATCATCAGCTCACAGTGGGTCCTAACCGCTGCCCATTGGGAGATTAAGTGAGTATTTACCACACCAAAAACTAGACTTGGTGGTCTCTATTTAGGCAGAAATGAATCTAAAATGTGCCTTCTATTCAGAGCCACACCTCAATATACAGTTCGCGTTGGCAGCAGCCATCGGCACACCGGCTTCAAGTACACCGTGGCTGAAGTAAAAAAGCATGAACTCTACAAGAAATCGAGCCGCCCAGAATTCAGTGACTATGACATCGCCGTCATACGCGTAAGTCTTGAGATATGGCTTTAGCAAAGGTTCTATCAAAGAGAAATTGTGCGAATCAAAATCACGCTGTTTGTATTAGAATATTTCCAAATTTACTAGTATTAAGTATAAATAATATATTATTTCTTCTACTCCACACAACTAAATCACGCAAACTTCTGATCGCAAATTTTCAGTAAATGAGAATATTTTTCATGTTTTGTGCTAGCAGCGGACATTGCTTAAACAGTACTGGCGTCTCTCCTTTTATTCTCAATAATATGAAGGATACTCATCCACATGAGATATGCTTTTCAGATTAATGGCCGCTTCACTTTTGGCTCCAACGTGCAGCCCATCCCCTTAGCGACCAGGGCACCTCCAACTGGCGCGTTGGCCGTTCTTGTTGGCTGGGGCCGTACGGTAAGTGCAGCTCTTTTTGCTTTTGTTTTCTCTAAAGATGTCTCTGAATAAATGTTTCAAATTTTTAGTGCATGTAGAGGGGTAAAAATATACAACATTTCGCAAAATATATCACAATTTCCCACAACATGTAGTGGGAAATTACATATAACGAAATTACCCATACGACATTTGTCTTGATATGCTCTGGCGTGCGTGAAGTCACGACTTGACTCATACAAAAAAATGCCATATAGTACCTGCCGAACACCGATGCATTACGAACTTGGCAAATCAGGGGGAAATATCAACGCTGTAATGCTGTTCCAAAAAGCTATTATTTTCGACCCCAGAAGTTCGTAACATTTATCTTGAAACACTCTGTGGAGGTTGTGGTGTGTATGGAGAAATAACAGATCCATTTCTTGCAGGTTAATGTCGGTTCGAAGCTGCGGGCCGTGTCTGTGCCAATCGTGTCCCAAGACAAGTGCAGACGCTTCTACATCAACCGCGAGGAAGGCGAAGTTACTCCTCGCATGCTTTGCGCGGGCGTCCTCTCCGGCGACTTCAGCACTTGCGCGGGTGACGACGGTTCTCCGTTGGTGTACAACAGGGCTCAGGTGGGAGTCCTCTTTTGGGAGATGGGCTGCGGACGACCTGATAGCCCTCCCGTTTACGCCAACGTTGCGGTCTTCCGCGACTGGATAAAGAAGAACACTGGCGTTTAAGTCGCCGACTTTTCAATGCTATCGAAAATAATTATTAAGCAGGAACTATGTATTCCTTGAAATAAAACTCAATAAATTACAATTTATTCAAGAATCTTCATTCTTCTAATACATGTTCATATTTATGTTTTATTCCTCCTTTCATCTAATTTCCCAAAAGAACTTCCGCAATCTAACAGCGGCTGCAGTGAAATAAATTATTCAACGTCTTTACAAGAAAGTTTAAGGAAAAATGTTGGGTTATTTCTCTGAAAATGTCATGGTGTAAAGGTGTCATGGAAAAGGTCATGATGTAAAGTACCTCAAATTTTAAAGAATATTTTTCTAATTAGGAGAGCTTTTAATTGAGCGGGATAGACCTCAGAATATTATTTTTTCGGAAAGAAATACTTCGCATAGTTTTGTGGCTAGAGTTGTTCGAAGACCACAGACGGACGGACTTCTTGAGAAAAAACATTTCCTCTGTATCAACAACCCACAAATCGAGGATTCTGACCACACAACGAGTTAGTGCCGGTCTGAATGGCCGAGATAGCTACGGCACTACTGCCTAAGTATCGCAGGTTCGAGTCCCGCTTCGGGCATGGTTGTATTATGTTCGTCCTTTCACCTACTATCATCATCATATCGTGTCATCCTCATAGTTATTCGTACCATACTGTTACACGCAATAGTGGTCGCTAATGACCTATATGTTGATGCGACCTAAAATAACAAAAAAAGGGTTAGTTTATCCGCTTTTTCTAGACCCGTTTATATAGCGAATATTACATCGTATTCCAAAAAGTAAAAACCATTTTGTGTTGATTTCTTCAGCAGCATACTTGCTGGTGCAGGACTCTAGTTTCACTAAATGTCCAAATTTTTTTTACTTTGACTTTCATTATGGTGTATGTTGTTTTCGTGTGTATGGCTCTTGCATCTCTCGCGCCTTTGTAACTTCATTCCAGATGTAAACCTCGTTCCCAGATCTCCACGACGTCATACTGAGGCTCAGGGCATCAACTGATGTCATTGCAGAGTCTCTGACCGGGAGGTCCTAGGGTCCGAGTCCCGACGGTGGCAGAATTTTCGACTCTAGTCAGATAGCTAGGTCGCGTTCTATCAGGGTCTAGAGGAGCATTCTAGTGGTCGGCCGCTCTGATGGGTAGTTTTCCGTGGTTTCTCCGATCAATACGATCAACATGAAATTATTTTCAATTTTTTTGGATGAATTTTAATATTGAGAATCTCGTCTACAGTTTCATATATAATTTATCAACATTTGCAGCATCCAAAATATTCAAAATTATTTCTGAGAAGAGGATGCGTGGCCATTTTCGAGGATTACCGGCAACCGGTAGCGGTGATATGTGTGGTGGTGTGTGGTGTATTTGTAGGTGTAATGTGTGTTATTATATAATATATATATATATATATATATAATATATATTATATATATATATATATATATATGTGTGTGTGTGTGTGTCTGTGTGTCTGTGTGTGTGCGTGCGTGTGTGTGTGTGTGTGTGTGTGCGCGCGTGTGTCCACTTATACCAGAACGGTATAAGTGGAAGTTTATAAATTCTGAGAAAATGTGTTTATTTTAGGCTATATTATAGTGGAAATATATTTTAGTTGTTTTAATGAACAATTGAAATGTGGTTATCATGATGAAACAAAACACCACGGCTTTAGTATAATATTCACTTAAACAGATTTCTCTTAATTTATAAAATGTCACTTATGCCGTTCTGGTTTTCACCGCAATGTTTCCATAGCAATGTACGACTTGCCTCGTTTATTTCGAATTAGGTAGTAGAATTTCAAGTATCAAATTCCGAATGTGGCCACACTTTTACATGAGAAATCGTTTATTATCACTACTTTAATGGAACGCGTGCAATTAAAACCATGCAACTACCAATGAGAACTCGGCAAAAGGCTCAGACTCGTTTATTTAAGTCTCTACGGAAACACAAATTAATAAACAAAAAGTTGAAATTTAAAGGTTCCCTGTAACATGAAAAACAAACATTTATGAACACATCTCAGCTTACTTACTACTATTATGTATATATATATATATATATATAT